GAATGTCTCTGTACATTTTTCCATTCATCCTTCCTTCGATTATTTGAAGTTTGCCAGTACCATATGCTGAAAAACAGCATTTGGGTCTGAACCAGCTGATATTAACTTGCACTGACAAGGGGCAGGCTTGCTTTCTAATTACTGAGAGAGTTCAGCTGGTGTCTTGGCTTTCCATGCCTTTTTACACCTCCCTTTCTTCATGTGTTCAATAGTTTTTCTCCACATTATTACAAATAACTTTATTTCTGGACTTTTATGGTTTGATTTCTTTGTATGTATGGATCACTTGGGTTGTTACCGACATCTGGTGAACATTTCATGTCATTAGCACCTCTAGTAATATATTTACTGAGAAAAATGTTGACGTGTTCAATACTTATTTTACCCGCTGTATATTCATCATCCTCATCCTTTCACTGCTTTTTGAGCATGAAGGTGTGAACATGGCAGTGTTGTGCAAAACAGCTGAGTCAGCTGACAGTGACACAAATTCTGGTAATCTGAGCTGGAAACTGAGGAGACATTCACTAGTGTCCCTGTGAGCCATGCACGACTCTTCCTGTGCTGCAGAATTAATCAGCGGAAATATCATTGTTGTCATTCTGTTACAACCAAACACACACACACACGCAGGCACACACACACTGCACTGTCATTCACCAAACACAAACACACTGCACTGTCATTAGTCAGCATCTTTCCCTCTCTGTGCCACATTGCATGTGTCACATGTTACATTCAATKTCATGAGAGCAAATTATAGCAAATCTTATGTAAAAAGGAATTGAATTTAGGTTTTTTCCTTGCAACATATTGATTGTTGAATTATGACTCAACGCTGAGTCTTTTAATCCCTGCTCTCCACTGAGACATAAGGTTTGTTCAGAACAACAATCTTATCTCTGTGACAGATGGGGTGTGAGTGAGCAGGGCTGCTGACGTAAACATCTGTAACCACAGTAAAACAGAAGATTGTCAGTTGACGAGTATGAATGTATGAAGAAGAAAACGTCATGAACAAAATATTTTGGAACATTTTCCCATAAAGCTCAAAGTATTCTTAAAATTTAGTTGCTTTTAAATGTCACTTTTATGKCACAAAAGGGGGGAAAAACTATACAACAACCATCTGTTGATTAGTGGGTCACAATAAAACAGGCTATTGAAGGAGTGCACCTGGAGGATGAGTGCTCCAGAAAAGCAGAAAGGTTTTTCACTATTATTATGGTGGTGACCACTTTCTTTACAAAAATGCAATAACGCAGGCGCTCCTAACCTCCTGTGCTCTGTTAGGATGAAACACCAAGAGATGAATGAAAGGACAGGAACGCACCTTCAAAACATGGACTATAGGAAAGAGGAAGTAAGCAGAAGAAGGTTGTGCAAATAAAATTAAAGCCTCRGACATTGAGCCCACAATTATTTTTGATAACCAGTAAATCATTTTTACAACAAAAAAGAAAGCATGAAGGAAGAGAGCCGTACACACTGGAGTCGGAGCTATAAATGGACTTTTACCAAGTCAGATAATCTCATCACAGCTGAAGCTGAGCATACTCAGATAACATTTGAACTGGGATCAAAATGCAACCATTGGGAAGAGCTGTTTAATTAGAGAGCTGGAAAAAAAATGAAATGAGGAAACCAATTCTTTTTTTAAAGATTGACAGGTTGTCTCAGAGTTTTCAGGTAGTTTTAYGGGCACAGTTCAGTACAAGTTGTTTCACACTACAAGTAATATATTTACAGTTTAATATTTAACGTTCCTTGTCAGGTTTCAGTTCACTCTTTGTCAGTGAAGTGCATATAACACGGCTGTATGAACAGCATCTTGTCCTGCAGGTGTCAGATGGGGGTGAATCCACACGAGCTACCTTTAAAACACAGAGTCTTAATGAAGCCTGTGGGGAGCAGGGAAGATGGTTATTGGAAGAGACRGACCGGATGCAGTTGCCCATCAGGTAAAACACTTCATTATTTTTCCCAGTTAACACAAAAAGACTGATTTTATCTGTCATTACAGCTGGTGAGGACAAAGTGTGAAAGTGCGACAGGTGCGTGAGGGAGCCCCCCAGACCTGTTCAGAACCAGAAAACAGCACCATTACAGTAAAAGTTCACACAGTCTGAAGTGAGTGCATACAAGCCTGTGTGTTAGCAGACCTTTCAGGTTTTACTAAAAATAAATAGATATTTTATCTCAGAAATGCAAATATAAATTCACATGATCATGTATATTCAATGTGTGATGGGGGTTTAGGTGCTGAACAGATGGCAGTGAGCMGGTTATTTTTAGCTACTTGCACATTCATCGCCTGCAGCTTCAT